AGTAGTAGTAGTAGTAGTAGTAGTAGTAGTAGTGCCACTACTACTACTACTACTACTACCAGTATTACTACTACTACTTCTACTATTACTACGACGACTACTACTACTACTATTTATTATACTACTACGTATTCTACTACTACTACTACCACTACTACTACTACTACTATTACTACTACTACTACTGCTACTACTGTTACTCATATGTACTATACTTACTACTTACACTGATTACGACGACGACTACGACTCACTACTACTTACACTAACTACTACTTACTACGACTACTCCTACTACTACACTATACTACTATACTACAATACTACTACTACTACTAATAATACTCATACTACTACTTACTATGATTACTATTACTATTACTATTACTATTACGACTTTACTACTACTACTGTTAAACTACTACTACTACTACTACTACTACTACTACTACTACTACTACTACTACTACTACTTACTACGGCCACTACCCTTCGCCGCCTTCGTACTACGCCTTCTCTTCCTCCTCCTCCTACTGCGACAGTTATTACTACTACTACTACTACTACTTCTGCTACTACTACTACTACTACTACTGCTACTACTACTACTACTACGACTACTACTACTACTACTACTACTACTATTACTACTACTACTACCATAGTGTTGACACTCATGATGATGACACTAACAATCAACCTACTGCTAAGACGCAGAACAATCATACTAAGGATACTACTTGTAATAATAATAAGAAGAATGTCCATAACAATCATAATGATACGAATAGTCATAAGTTGAAGAAGAAGGGGAGGCGGAAGAGGAGGAGGAGGAGGAGGAGGAGGAGGAGGAGGAGGAGGAGGAGGAGGAGGGGGAGGGGGATGAGAGGAGGGGGGGAGGGGAGGAGAGCAGCGGAGGAGGGCGGAGGAGGCGGAGGAGGAGGAGGAGGAGGAGGAGGATGCGGAGGACGATGCATGTCGGCCGCGCCCAGCCTGACGGATCAAGCTTGTGCTGTGCATTGATCCTCGTGGGCATGGGCTGGCGTGGGGGCGGGCGCGGCCCGCTCGCTCTCTCTCGGGCTGGCCAGCCAGTCTGGGAGCCTCCTCCTCCTCCTCCTCCTCCTCCTCCTCCTCCTCCTCACAGAGGAGCAGCAATGGCACCGCTCGGGCGCGTGCATTTTTTTCGGCGAGGGCCATCCAGGAGCGGAGCGGATCTCCTAGCTACAATATAAGCGCACTGAGTCGACAAAATTGCACGGGGAATGGACGTCCGAGCGAGGGCGGGAAGCAGTGCAGCTCTCGCGCGCGGTCCGCCTCCCCGCGTAACGTTCGCGCCGGGCGCCACTCCGACTTTCTCTCGCTGGCGGCCGCGGCGGGCTCAACATCGAGATCGGTGGTCTGAGGGTGGAGGGGGGAGGGGCAGAGAGATCGTGAACATCGCTGTGCGTTATCTTTCAAGGGTGTGTGTGTGTGTGTGTGTGCTCCTACTCCCATGTCTACCCCATGCCCCTGCCCGCTACCCCCAGTGGGCACGCCAAGGAAGAGCTTGGCTTGCCGGCAGGTGCCCTGCGGCATTTTTTCTCATCCCCAAGTGGCCCCAGGGGCCCACGGAAGCTCTGGGCCACCAGAGGACTCTCAAAGATCGTCGAAGAGTCCCAACATTTTTCGATGTCAGGATTTCTTACGCATGTGTGCGTATGTGTCCACTGTATCAATACCGTTATTCTTCATTTCAGTGCGTGTGGCACATCCCTGCTCTTACCCAGATGAGATCCGATGTTGCGAAAATAGCGACGGGGTCCTTGAATCCCATCTTTCTGCGGTATTTTTTGTTAGCCAGATCGATGTGGCATTTTTCGAGCCAGATCGATCCGTGAGGGTCCCCAGTCCCGAAACAGAGCAAAATCGCCCGTTGCGAAAAAATGCGACGCCAGGATCTCAGGACCTATCAGTACGGTGGGGGCGTTCGTAAAGGAATGTGTCCAGGAGGCTTTAGACCTTGGAGAATTCTTATCTGATGAGAGCGGCGGTTACATCCATGGCCAAAGCCTTTTCAGACCCTGGATTCTTTATCCAAGGGTTCTGCATCTGATGTCTTCACCGTGACCTTTGAGGGAGCCTGCCAACTCCTAGGCACAGGTGCAGACGGGGGAAACTCCACCGCGGCCAGCACCTTTATACTAATCAGAGGCCGTGCGAGGGAAGGGTGGTCCCGCTCACGCTCCAGGAGAATGCAGATACGCATAGGCTCCTGCAAGGATGAGCGGGTAATGTGACCTCGGTGAGCTGCGTTGCGCCACCGCGGAAGTCGCCCACGCTCAATGCCCTCACCGTGTTGTAATTACCCAGTTGCGCTGAAGCCGTGCGCGATTTTCCGCCCGCCATCGCGCTCGGGCGGGCGCGGGGGGGCAGGGGGGGCCTTGGGGGAGGTGGGATGGCGAGCCGGGCCACGCAACTCCCTTCCCCCAGGCTCTGTGGTCGGGACCATTCTTTGTTCGGGAGGCCCAAAGTGCAGGGCCTTGGGCCACACAACTGAGCGCACACTGGGCTAGGCGGCTGGACGTGTCGGGGGGCCCCAGGTACTGCTTCGCAGAAGGCGACATGGCCCGACGCACACCAACCGCTGCCAGCGTGGTGGTGGATCTTCATCCCAGTACAGTCAACCCGCATAATAAGGATAGGCAACCTTCCCAGGGGTACCCTTGCATCCTTGCCCTTCGGCACATCCTCGGTCGCTTTCGCTGGCCGCGCCCCGCTCGCAAAGCTTCGAGATGGCCTTCCGATGCCCTTTTGCATCCTTATCGAGCGCCGTTATGATACGGGTTGGTCCGACCCATACCAACCGCTGCCAGCGCGGTGGTGGAGGAGGAGGAGGAGGAGGAGGAGGAGGAGGAGGAGGAGGAGGAGGAGGAGGAGGAGGAGGAGGAGAGGAGGAGGAGGAGACTCGGCCCCCCCACCGAGGAGGAGGCCCTGCCCGCCTCGGCGCAGCAGCCCACCCGCCCCGGCGCCGACGAGCCGCAGCACCTGCTCGGCGGCCTCGCCGCGGGGCCGCTGGCCAGAAGCCTGCAGCAGCACGGCGGCGAGGACTGGCGAAGAAAGTCACCACCCACCAAACCACCCCAACCCAACCCGAAGGCTGCAATTTGCCCTCCAATTCCAGTGGGGGGGGGGTCGGGGAACACTGAAAAACGCATATGGAGCCCGTATCCCCCCAGACCCGAAAGTCGGGTCTTCGGGCAGGGTTGTGGTGTCTGGTAGGTAGCCAGACAAGATGGCATCGTAGGGGCCGAAAGGACCGCGACGGCAGGTTTTTGGGGACTTTCGGCCTCTGGGAGCCCTCGCTAGGCCCCAGAACCGTCAAAAAACGGGTAACAACAAAAAGCCGGTCCCAGGGACTGGGTCGAGAGTTCTGGGGGTCAGCGTTGTGGAGAAATCACGACCCCCCCATAGCTCGGAGGAGAAAAAAGGTATCGATGCCGCTGTCCTGGCCTCGTTCTCGCCTTTTCTGAGCCTCCCAGGAGGCCCTCGTCGCCGCGGCCAGATTCGCCTCGAGATTCTAGTCAGAACGCACCGCACCCTTGGAGAGCTCTGGGGAGCAGCGGAATCGGTATCTTTGGGACCGTTTTTATCAGCTGGCGATCACGGGCGTGACCGGGGAGGGGGGGATAGGGGGGGAGGGGGCCACTCACGTCACGCTTCGCGCTGGTCCGCCACCTAGAAATGTGCAGGAATTGCCAATTCTAGACGCTTCGCGTATCCCCACCAGCCCATCAAGAAACGATGTCCGGCGAATTGAGGTGAACGAGGGGGACGGCCGAACCGTGCACAAAGGAGGGAGGAGGAGAAGAAGGAGGCCAGATGGATGGTTGAGGGAGTGGGGAGAAGGAGGATGAATAGGATGATGATGCTGATGATGATGATGCTAATGCTGATGCTGGTGCTGATGCTGAGGATGATGCTGATGATGATGGTGGTGGTGATGATGATGCTGATGATACTGATGCTGATTATAATGAGGATGCTGATGCTGATGTTGATGATGATGCTGCTCATGATGATGATGATTATGATGATCCTGCTGCTGATGATGATGCTGATGTTTTGATGATGAGGGTGAGGATGATGATAAGCATGAAGCTTATTCTGCTGCTGATGATGCTGCTGGTGATAAATGATGATGATGATGATGATTATGATGATGATGATGATGATGATGATGATGATGATGATGATGATGATGATGACGATGACGATGACGATGACGATGACGATGACGATGATGCTGCTGCTGCTGATGATGATGATGATGATGATGATGATGATGAGGAGGAGGAGGAGGATGAGGATGATGCTGCTGCTGTTGCTGCTGCTGCTGATGATGCTGCTGCTGCTGATGATGATGAGGAGGAGGAGGAGGAGGAGGAGGAGGAGGAGGAAGAGAAGGAGTAGGAGGAGGAAGAAGAAGCAGGTGGAGGAGGGTAAGCAAAAGGGCCAGAGGTCTCTTGGATGCCTCTCGGAGTCTCTTGGGATATCTCTTGGGCGCTTCTTTGTGGCCTCTTGGGACGTCTTGGGGGTCTCTTGGCGGTCCTGGGGGGCTCTTGGGCGTCTTGGGTGCCTCGGGGGGGCCTCTTGGGCCCGCTTGGGGTCCTCTTGGGGGCCTCCTGGGGGCCTCTTGGGGGCCTCTTTGGGCCATCTTGGGGCCATCTTGGGGCCTCTCGGGGCCTCCTGGGCGCTTCTTGGGGCTATCTTGACATCGATCGCAGAAGACGGAAGCTCCTTTTAACGCTGCCACCCCAAGAGGCCAAAATGGGGCCCAAACCCTGCAAAAACCAATGATTTTGGCTTCCTCGCCGAGGCCGTTTTGGGCGCCCTGACCGCTCGCGGACCCCCCCGTCCAGGTCCAGGGGAGGGGGTAGGGGGGAGGGGTAAACCCCTCCCCGAAGGGGAAGAAGGGGGGGGTGGAAAGGGAACCTCCCCCAAACCACCCACGCCAAGAGGGCTGGTGGGATTCCCCACACCGCGCCGGCGCGAGTCGGCCAAGGAGAGGGGCGGGCGGGTCACGGGCGTGATCTTGGTGGTTCAAAGATGGGGTCCTGAGGGATCGGGGCCCAAGGATAGGACCAAACCCAAGGGTGGATTTCCGCTGTTGGAGGCGCCTCGTTCTTAGGGCCCCATCCCTCGGGGCTTCGGGTGCAAATGGGGCCTGGTGGTCTGGCTTCGGTCGCCCCCCCGCGATTTTAAGATTTTGGCGCGAAACGTTCCTCCACTTCCTCCTGCGCGGAACCTTCCTCCTCTTCCTCCTCCTCTTCCTCCTCCTCCTCCTCCTCCTTCTCTCCCTTCATCCTATCACCCTCTCATCCTCCTCATCATTCTTCTCTTGCTCGTCCTCACCCCCCCACCCCCCGTTCCCGCTCCTACTCCTCCTCCTCCTCCACCTCCTCCTCCTCCCCCTCCTCCCCCCTTCCAAGGGAAAACCATAACTTTAGGAACATCCTGGGGAAAACAACAAAAGCCAAAGAAACTGAAGTGCTGGAAGCTGAAACTTTGGAGAACACTTGGGAAACACCCCCCAAACCAAAAAAAACAAAAGATCCCAGGTAACACCCGTCCGAAGGGACCTCCTCCTCCTCCTCCTCCTCCTCCTCCCACCCTTCCAGCGGAACGCCATAACTTTAAGAACACCTTGAGAAAAACCAACACAACCAAAGAGACTGAAGTGCTGGAGGGTGACAACAACCAATAACGAACAACGTTTCCAAGCAATGCGGCCCGCCCATGTAACCTCACCTCTGGGGTGGACGGGATGTCCATGCTTTTTTTGTTTTTGGTTTATTGTTTTTTGTTTTTTGTTTTGTTTTTGTTATTTCATATTTTTTGGTTTTGTTTTCCAATGGTTCTTCTAAGGTGTCCGCCTCCAGCACTTCAGTTTCTTTTTGTTTTTTCTCATAGTTTTCCTAAGAGTTATGGCCTTCCGCTGGAAGGGGGATGAGGAGGAAGAGGAGGAGGAGGAGGACGTTGTAGAGGCTTTTAGTCGGAATTCTTTTGTATATGCTTTCAAGAGGAATGCTTTTGTAAGGGCTTTCACTCGGAATCATTTGTATGGGCTTTGAGTAGGAATACTTTTGTATTGGCTTTCAATAGGCATCTTTTGTAGATGCTTTCGATGGGAATCCTTTCGTATTGACTTTCGATAGGAATTCTTCTGTATTGGCTTTCAATAGGAATCCTTTTGTAAAGGCTTCCAAGAGGACTCCTTTTGCATCGGCGTTCAATAGGGATCCGTTTGCAGTGGCTTCCAATAGGCATCCTGTTGTAGATGCCTTCAGCAGGAATCCTTTTGTATTGGCTTTCAATAGGCATTCTTGTGTAGATGCTTTCTTTCAACGGGAATCCTCTTGTATTGGCTTTCGCTAAAAAATTCTATTGCATTGGCTTTCAACAGGGATCCTTGTGTAAAGGCTTTCATTAGGAATGATTTTGTAACGGCTTCCAATAGGAATCCTTTTGTAGTGGCTTTCAGTCGGAATTCTTTTGTAGATGCTCTCGCTAGGAATCCTTTTGCATCGGCGTTCAACAGGTATCCTTTTGCAAGGGATTTAAATAGGAATCCTTGTGTAGAGGCTTTCAATGGGCATCATGTTGCATTGACTTTCAAAAGGAATTATTTTGTAGATGCTTTCAATCAGAATCCTTGTGTAGAGGCTTTCAATACGAATCCTTTTGTACAGGCTTTCAATCGGAATCCTTTTGTAGAGGCTTTCGATATACATCCTTTTGCATTGACTTTCAAAAGGAATCCTTTTGTAGAAAGGTTTCAATCGGAATCGTTTTGTAGAGGCTTTCAATAGGAATCCTTTTGTATTAGCTTTCATCAGAAATCCTGTTGTAGAGGCTTTCAGTAGGACTCCTTTTGTATTAGGTTTCAATCGAAACTCTTTTGTAGAGAGGATTTCTACAGGAATGCTTTTGTCAAGGCTTTCAAGATGCATCCTTTTGTAAAGGCTTTCAAGAGGAATCCCTCTTTCAAAGGCGGAGGCTTTCAAGAGGAATAGAGAGAGAGAGAGAAAGAAAGAGAGATAGAGAGAGAGAGAGAGAGAGAGAGAAGGAGAGAGGGGAAGGCGTAGGGATAGTTTCGGATCGGCTTCCTTATTAAACGGAGTACACATAAAGGCACCAGGCCCCCTTTGCACCTGGACCCCCCTCGGGACCCCATAATGGCACTACTCGCGAATCATAAGAACCTGGCGGCGCGCACAGGGGGGTAGGTGGAGGGGGAAGGCTTCTTAGAAACACCCTTGCTTCTTAGAAGGCGCGGGTTTTGCCTGTCGATGTAAGGCCAGCGCCTTCTAAGAAGCAGCCTCCTTCTAAGAAGCCTCCCCCCTCCCCCTACCCCCCTCCGCGCGTCGCTAACGGGAGCGCCCCTCGCCACCGCGGGGCCAGCGCGCGCCGAAGGCGGGCGCGGAACACGTGCGTCTTGAGCCCAGAGTGGTCACGGACAGATGAAGCGGAGGAGGAGGAGGAGGAGGAGGAGGAGGAGGAGGAGGAGGAGGAGGAGGAGGAGGAGGCCATTTTTTTGTTCGGCCCCCTGGCGCCCTGCCGGCAGGCTAAACCAGGTGCCGTCAGCGCGGCTGTCAGTCCGCGCCACCGTCGCCGAAGGGCGACTCCCTGCCCGCCGCCACGCGGGCCCTCGCCCAGCAGGCCGCTGCGGCGGGCGAGGCGAAGCCGTGGAGCTCCGCCGCCTGCCAGGCGTCCGCCACGACTGGCCGCAGCCCCCAGCGCGGCGGCCTCCCTGCACCAGCGGGAGCGCCTGCGCCTGCCTCGCCGCCTGCGCCGTCGCGGAGCACCGCCGCGAGCCGCGCCTGCTCCTCCAGCGTGGGCGGCTGCGGGGCCGAGAGCCTGGCCTTGCTCTTGGGCTCCTGGAGGCGCATCAGGAGCCGCCGCGCCTCCGCCGCCCTTTCGCCAGGGGCTGGCCGTCCCTTGCAGCTGCCCAGCAGGCCTGTCCCAGCAGGAGGGGACCGCTTCCAGAATCGGCAACCACACTTCAAGCACCAGGCCACGGCCCCATCTCCATTCTCGAGGCGCGA